AATTCTGGCGAGTGAAACCACAAAACAACACGTCATTGCTAACGCCTCCACCAATTCCGGTTAAATACAACGATTAATTAAACGTTTCGCATGCCAGTGTCTTTATATCCAGCAATGCAATGGTAGAACTAAGCAGTTACGGGTATTGCACAGAACAAAAACAAAAGCTACACACAAAAACCAGACCACAATAACGATAATAAATCGCCTACAACAGTTATTTTCACAACCATCTCATTAGTACAATTACACTGGTACAAACTTTTTCTCTACTTCAATCATACAATTCTTGGTTGGCTATAGCAAGAACTCTGCTACTTCAAAGCAAACTTTTGGGACAACAGAACACCTCTCAATTGCTTTGTTGTGAAACATCGTGAACTCGTTACGGTTAAACTGTCATGGGGACGTTCCACAGATGACTTCTTACTCCTTCGAATCATGATATTCATCTATATAAGATTTAGTTCGTACCTCACAGAAATCACGATGTCTCCATTACAAAGATCAAATAATTAAATTGTTCAAGAAAATTGCCGTCGTTTACGAGTATTACGAGAATCAGACGAAACTCTTAACTCCACTGAGCTCAGTCCTTAAGAAGCCGCCAGTCGCTCAGCTACTCAAGAATTCCTCAACATTTTATGGTACCCGAAAGTTCATTACAGGTCCTTGTCCTGAGCCAAATCAATCCGGTCCACACCACCCCATCCTATCTCTCTACGACACATTTTAATCCCACCTACGTCTAGGTATTCCTTGCGGTCTCTTTCCTCCTGGCTTCTAGGTGTTTGATTTCAAACTTACGTGTGTATATATACTATATATACGGGGAGGGGGGGTAAAAAGTGGCCGGCGCGTAAGGCTGACAATCTCACCGCCAACTGCGAGCCGATTGTCTAGAAAATGTGGGAGCCTCGACGTCTCAAAACCCTATGGGCCTCCACGGCCTGTTACAGGAATAGCTTTACCGTTACCTCACAAAAACAATGCGTCTCCATTACAAATGACAACCGGCTAATGATCCTTCGGGAAATAATCGCTGTTCATTCTGAAAATCGCATGAAAAACACTGCGTGAACAAAATGCAGAGCAGGTGGTACATCCTGTAACCACTGTTAAATTTACCTCTTGTCATTAAGCGTCACGCCAAGAGAATAATACTGTTAAGTGGAGGTAATAGCCCTCAAGAAATTACACAGTAAACATGAACAAACTGAAATAATTTCAAATCTTGTATTCTACAAGTCTCAAATTAACGTAGGTCTATTATTTATCGGTTCAAACTCACCACGAAAGTGTGGTGCAACATTACGTAAATTCACACACCAACACAAGCTCGGGTTCCAGTTTCACCTCGCTACTCACCGGCGGTAAATCTTCACAAACTGAATATCATTCGATACTCTATTGCTGCTTACAAGACAATGACGTAAAACGGCTCCAACTGCCTAGGACAGGACAACATGAACCATCTAACAGAGGTGCACATTTCGTTGTGAAACATTCTACACGTGCAATTCAAAAGTTTTAAAAGCATCATAATCATCATTTTCAGACACAATCTTCTGGTTTCACGGAAGGCTGCAATGCATTGTCACGACGAAATTTCTTTGCCCTATTTAGCTGTGCACTACACACCAAACAAAACCTGACTGCATTCAGGCCTTACATACCAAGCGTGTTGGTCGACTGGACAATACCAGTTCCTTGTATTATGGAGGTCTTGGGTTAAAATATCGGCCCTGAGATCGGTTATCATACGGCTTTCGTGGTTTTTTTCAGTCCCTCGAGACACATTACATACATCAAATTAGCCCACGACTGCTACTTTCTGAATCTTACCGAGCTCACTATCCGCCAATCACATTATACCATTCCATCCTACATATAATCTCAGTTAGTGAGGGCGTCAGAAATGAAAAAGAGATCTGGGCTTTTGCATGCAGCTACCATGGCCACACCCCCACAATGCACAGTTAAGTACAGGTACAGTTCACAACACGACATTCACGATTCAATATGACCACTTGAAACATTCTTATGAAACCGGTATCAAAATTCTTATATATGAAGTTAAAAAACCTGTATTTAAGCATCCTGTTGCATTACTATACCTAAAACTGTTTACGTACTACACGGTCCGTCAACAATGCAACAACTGTTCCTTCTCTCTTACACTTTCACTTTCGACAAATGGCCATCTTCTGGTGTCTTACTATGCTAAATCTGCTACACTGCACTAATATTCTCCATTCGTCGTATATGCGACTGCACGCTTCATGATTTAAAACTTCATACTCGTAGTCAATTGTTAGGCGCTAAAATAGCACACGCTGTAGTTCACTTAAATTAAATCTAAAAGGAACAATTTGTTGCATTGTTGACGGACTGTGTAGTATATAAAGTTCTATGTGAAGTTAAAAACTAGGTCACAGTTAAGAATACTAAAAAAAAAAGTTTAAACATGGATATAATCTCCAAAGATGTCTGATTGCATTCATGCATAAAATTTACATTTAATGTATATGAAAAATGGGATCAAATACTAATACGCCACATATCTGTAATTTTCAATGCAAACAGCAGTTTTTCTCTTTTATATTTATTTTGTGTTGTAACGTTTAATTCTCAAATATAACGCCGCATTTGGTCTGTTTCTGTATTTTGTTGCTGCATAATTTGAGAATCCAGGTTTGTACATAATACTTTGCTGGCGATGGGTATCAGCTGGCGTCTTTAATACAGCTTCCTTCTTTCAGACAAGGGGATGGGGGGGCGCTAGTTGGTATTGTCGACTTTTTTGAATAGCCCTACAACAATAAATTAAATTTAAATTCACTCCAACAATAATAAATGTATATTCATGGTTTTATTACTGTCGATCTACAATAAATTTTCCTCTGTAACATGAACAAACTGGAGCCAGGATAGCTACTGGTTACGTGCTAGACGACCGAAGGGGTCGGAGTTCGAGTCCCGGTAGGGTCAAGAATTTTCACGTCTTCCAGACCGACTCTGATGTCCACCGAGCCTCCTATCCAGTGGGTACAGGAGGGTCCCTCCATAGGAACAAAGCGGCCACCTCCAGCTAGAGGCGAGGTCAAGAAAATGTGTATCTATACAGTCACTACTCCATACGCCTTCATGGTGTAGTGCTTAATTAGTTAAGCACAGGGACTTTACCTTACATTAAAAGAGAACAAATTTATAACGACTTATACAAAAGTTTCTAAAAATATCAGCTAAAGTCTGAAGCCGTTTAAGGCACGTTCAACTAATTAATATTTTTAAAAGCTCCTGTTTCCATCGTCCAAGCGAACGCACGCAATTCCCTCGGAAGGAGCCGCTTTCTGACCTCGAAACGGAATGAAAATCGTAAACACACTCACGACAAAATTCTTGATTCGAAAATGGTACATTCAGTTAACACTATACTGTATATCCAAAAGTATAAAAAAACTTATGCATTCTACTGCTATTCACAAATTGGCCCACGCTGCTTGCGTAACTTACGCCCCGGAATGTCGATGACATCATGTCCCGAGACGGTGTAGTCAACTTCAAAATGAAAGCTCGTACAACACAGTTCGTCGGGTAGGGGGGATCTGTTGTCAGATCAACCAAACCGATCGAGCTGTATGCAATTTACTAGAAACGATATTCTCCCTCAACTTATGCCCTAAGTTACTACAACTGTCTGAACCCTCCCAATAATAAGTACTGGTACATGTTCACAGATTCACGGGTGGATGTGTCACACTATGAAGCCACCTGTAAATGGAAATGACTATTCCGAAATCTAGTCTTCCTCAGCTCAGTTCATAAAGTAACGCTAAGTTCTGATGTGTGCAGTTCCTTTCCTTGCAAGGCTGCGATGGGTTCGGTTACGACTTGCTTGGGCGTGATATGAAATCAACAGTCTCCTAATTTCTACACTCGTACATGTGCCATATAAATTTACTCCGGAGTGAAATACGCTGCTCTGGAAAGCTGCTTCATCTATATCACAACACTAAAAAATAAATATGGTGCACTGGTCCCGTACTCAAAACTGCATCTCGTTAGGCGTTCACATCAGTTTGTGATAGTTTTGCCCATGCAGCCGTTTACGAAATCTGGGCGTTTCGCCTCCGGTTACGGGTATTTCAGACCTACACTTTTAACTTAGTTTATTATTACTGCAGTGAAGTACTGCGACATTTTTTGAACTAATGACTTTCATATACAAGTCCCATACGGTAGGACAAGATTTAGGCAGCAGCAGTTAAATTTGTTTTTAATTTTGTAAGTCACGAAAAAACTGAACTGTTTCGTCGAAACGATTATACTAGTCATATCAACCGCTCTGAGAAGCTATAACCCAACACAGTACAAAGATACGTACAGAACCCTTGGTTGAAAATAGTGGGAGGAAAAAAGAAAAGGTCATACAAATTCTGAACAAAATGTGTATGGGGGCCGCCGGCTTCATTACGAATACCTAAATTGTGGGCTATAAATGCGTGCTTACCGCTGGGTATATGACGAACTCCTTGAGACTATAATGAAACCACAAGTCACTGCTACACAGATAGGACCAAGATAAATTTTGTTGCTCAACTGATACGAGGCATTTTAAAGTTTGTGCTTCGGGCTTAACGGTCTACATGTAATGCAGCACTACAATTGTTCACTAATTGACACTACTCCTACCCACTGTCATACCACTACACCACACACTAACGTTACGCCCAGCAATTCGAAACACAACTCGCAAATGCTGAACGACACTGATCAACACTGAACCGAGCCACCCCCATAATGCCGCTTCTGCTAGATTCCTACTAGGGATGGCGACTGCTTTATGGAACAGCAACAGAGGAGGAACACAACAGCATGTCGTTTGACAATAGCCGCCGAAATCACAATTTCATTACAACTAAGGCAATTTATGGGATTAAAAACAAATACCTCCTGATACTAAACTCGTCAGAACAACTTACTATACAACTGCTCACCAATGTATTAAGGTGTGAGGAGCCAATGTAACACACCGAATCCGAATCTCCCTCCGTACGGCATGCATGCAAATGGCGCCTAAAATGTGCTTCACTACCACCAATGAACATGATAATGAACCACCGCTCGTTACGATCAAACAAACTGACGAAGGAATGTCAGTTTTCACTATCGTACGGTGCAAATCTAATAATATTTAAAGTAGGAGCTTCAAGAATGTAAGCCAAAATTCCCTTGGGGACACACCCCTATTTCAGTGTGTCACTTTTCGTACGATTTATTTACAAGGAGACCGTCACTGGCACTTGCGGCACAAAAATCTTGTAATCACTTAACTACTACCACCCACAAGGTCATAATTACGAATGAGGTAACATATCAACTTACCAATACTATATACTACCAGTACACACGCACACACACATATGCAGCCTTCCACTTTCCCTGCACGCAACACGAACAGGCTTAGATCGGAACTACAATTTATGGCTGTTCCGAGAAATTACCTTACTCCCCGCCGGCGGTTTTCCAGTATACGAAAATGTCTGCGCACTAATTACTCTACAAAATAATAGTTTCAATACACTATTACATTATAATTTGTTTTTATGATATTAATAAACAGTTTACATGTCAGTATTGAAATAGCAATATTAAGACGATGTTCCTGCTTGGTTACGAATGTTTCTTGTTCCGAACACCACAGCGCCAAGAGCAACGATGACATAACTTAAGAAAGTTGTCTGTGACAGAGGTTCAGTGCATTACGTTACCAACAGCGACAAAGAAATCACCAGATATTTTAATAAAATGAACTCAACATCGTCTCCTAGGATTGCTACTAAATAAATAACAAAACTTTATATACATACTGGCATAAGACAATTGACCATGTGAAAATGATCGTTCTATTTCAAATGTAACACACACTCACCGTGGATCAAATTCAACCGGTGACTATGCCGATAAGGTTCTGATGGCGTTCCGACCGTCCTTCGAAAATGTTCGTCGGAAAAATTATTTCAAACAGAATAAGGGCGTTCTTTTGTAGTCGTCACTTCCATGTAATTGACATTGTCTTGATCTTCTCACAACGACTTTCGGATCTAAAGTTACCGAATATGCACGGCAACATGTAAACAATTATCGAGAAACTGAATTACAGGACGGGCATGGGTACACTGTAACATTTTAATATTATCTCCTTAATGTCCATACTAGTAAGCGCAAGAGGCTTTGGTGGCTGTGAAACTGTATATCACGGTCTTGTGAGTCACGACGCCGTGTTGTCTGGGAAGTAGTTACCAATGTTTTCCACAACATGGAGGCTTTTGTCGGTTTATGCCAGACCATATTATGTCATAAACCCAACAAATAAAAAAGACAATGTAAATTATATTTTGTGCATTCAAGCTAATTGTGTGGGCCAATTTTGGAGGTAATCTGAAATTAATTGTTGCTAGATCCAACTTCAGGGTAGAAAATTAATCTTCTACATGTGGATGAAGGCAGAAGGTTCCTCCGAAACGTTGACGCCTACCTAAGAAAACAAATAACTTTACATTCCAGAATATTATAACATCAATATTAATCGGCAATGAGAACTTCAAATACCAACGCTTGTGATTCACTTTAAAAAGGAGCCAAAATCGATCTCCGAGATGCAGTTACTTCACGGGTGCCGCCAATTTTGGCTTTCAGTGTCGGATTTTACCTTCTGAAATATATGTCCTTTGGTCTCCCATATCTTTTAGTTCAGAATCTACTGTTGAGCGCACAGTAAACACATTGTATTTGTATAATCTACGAATAAAAAAAGTTCGTAACGCTGGTTACATAGCTCCTGCAACGCTTGATAATAATTCATGGAAGCAATTAATGTAGGTTAAGTTTTACAAATTATTTGTTCCTTTATTACAATATTTGATTCAAACTTTCTGTTCTAAGTTGGAAAATATAAACTTCTCACATCATCTATGTCCAGTTTTAGTCAATATTTTGTGCTAAGTATAATGAACACCGAAAAGAAACTATACATACCCTGGACAGGATCCATTGCACAGAATAAATTAGCGAAGTAGAAAATAAAACCCCACCTTCCTACTCCCTTTCTGCCAATTATGTAAGATGACGAAAGTTTTTAGACTATTGAGAGAGAAGGCTATATCGCCTACTGCATTAACAACACACTTGAGTTTATTACAGAATACGGATGCTCTATTCTCTGAACTTGCAGAATAATTAATACTACCAAATCAAATTAATATTTATTTAAACAGTTATCGCGTGTTATTTATTCTCTCAAAATTTAGCAAAAAGTCTTCATCTGGTGCCAATTAATTCACTTCATTTTCATGATTGCTGATAGGAATTTAACGGCAGATTTGAGAAAAATATGATTATGATGATGTGGATTAATGATTCGGTAACTACTGTTACATAGAGAAAGCAATACTGTGGTTCTAAGACGTAATATTTTCTCTTTTATTACGGGCGGGTGTTACAAATTTTCTACCACACTTAAAAGAGACGTTTGTTACAACAACATTAGATGGCACTATCAGATTGCTAAGTATGTACTGCCATCTTTTGGGGTTCTTGAACATTACCAGCGATCACCAGCGCAGAGTGCGGCAGTGAGCGCAGTGAGCGCAATGAGGGCTGCTCAGATCGCTCAGATCGCTCAGATGTCGATGTTAAGAATGTACGTTGTATTTTCAGTCGTGCACGTTAGTAATTTCTGTTTTCGTCAGGTTTTTAATTTGTTATAACCTGTATATGTTTTAAATTGTTTTCATTTATATTGTGGGCGTTGGTAAGAGTTATATCAAGAGTGAGAACGAAAGTCGTTTATAGCATCTAGTAACTGTCCACTTCGAAGCACGAGCTATGAGTTTGTGTTTGAAATCATTCACACTAATTTGTCACTCAATTAAGAACCCACAGCTGACGTGTGTGCGGAATCGTTATCACGCAGAGAAGATTGCTAAAGGGCCTCTTCTACGACGGTATGGCTACAAAGACAAAATTCTTCAAAGTGGAACATTACCACATGTTGATGGGCCACCCATATCCATGCCAGTGTACAGACCAAAAAACGCATGGTGTGAGAAGCGCGCATTGTTTGGGCAGAATGATTATATAGACATTCTTGGGAATGGAGAACTTCATCCAACCAGGATCTTGTACAATGTACAGTCGTGGCTACGGGGTGTGCAAGGAAATGAGTATCAGATACTGCTTCGCAAGAGGAAGGTGTTTAATAAGGGAATAGTACCAATTGCAAGACCCAGTAAATGGAAAGACCTAAATAAAAGAATAAAATACCTTTATAGGTTTTTAAATCGAAAAACGAAAACAGGCATGTCTAGTGATTAAGACTGATTTTACAAGTGCATGTAGTTGGCAGTGTTTATGTGTTTGATTAGTATATTCCCATAATTTAGTTATTTAGATTAAATAAAAGTGACAGTAATGACTTGGAATAGAAACCAGTATAATGCATATGTAGCAAAGATAATGTATGGAAATAGCATGTGTCTGTGCGAAAAGATTAAAGCTTTTTGTTAGGGGAGTGTGCTACAGCCTAAGAAACAACACAGGTGTACAAGTTTCTCTCCCTGTTTGATGGTCAGATACTGATACTGTAGTGTACAGTATCCTTTATTTTATGAATTTTCACTGAAATAAAGATGATAATTTGTACCCATTTTTCAATTAACAAACATAATTTTTGCTATTGTGAACAAATTATTTTCCTGAGTCCAGTAAAGTACATGGAATTTACAAGCTCTCATCTTCTGAACAGTTTTCATGGAATGAAGTACATTAAAAACATCTGGGGATGCCTGTATTTATTTATGCTGCTGGTGGCTCAGACTATAGCATCAAATGGTAGGGTGATTAATAAATGAAGGTAAAGTTGTCCCTGTGCTTAACTAATTAAGTACCAGTCCATGAAGGCATATGGGGAGTGGTTGTATAGATCCACATATTCTTGACCTCAGCACTAGTTGGAGGGTGAGTGGTCAGCTTCATATCTGCCCACTTTACTCGTGGGGAAAGAGCCCCAGTACCCATTGGCTAGGAGACTGGGCGGTTCTCAGAGCCAGTGTGGACAATATGAAGAAGAGAAAATTCTAACCCCTACCAGGACTTGAACTCTGTCCCTTCAGTCTTCCAGCCTGTAGCCAGTTGCTATACTGACTGTGCAATGAGAGGCCCTAATAAGTGGTGAACTGGAATGGAAATGGAAGGAAGCAGTTATGGTTATTTCAAGGCACTATCTAAGCATTTACCTGGAGAAACTTAGTATAAAAAAAAGGTTGTCCCTGTGCTTAACTACAATAATTAAGCAATATGGAGGCCTAGGGGGAGTGGCTATATAGACCCATGTTATCTTGACCTCGGCACTTTTTGGAGGTGAATGGTCAGTTTCATGCCCTGGTCGCTTTACTCCAGGTACCTATTGGCTAGGAGGCTTGGATAGGCCCCAGAACTGTTCTGGATGACGTGGATAAGAGAAAAATTCTTACCCCCACTGGGACTTGAACTCTGACCCCTCGGTCATACAGCCCAGTCACTGTACCAACGTAGAGAAACTGAGTATGACCATAACCATGCAGCTCTCAGCAAAGTGACCCACATGCTCCCTGAGTGGGGGAATGAACTTTACTATATTCCATGCACAGCAAACATTGAGAGGCCACCACAAAATAATGGGACTGATCCTTTGCTGTGAAGTGAAATTTTGACCCTTGCCTTTTGTGCAAAGAATTATATTTTTGTATAAGATAAAGAACTTGTTCCATTTGAATTAAAGTAGTTTGTTTATGCTTTTATACTAGGGGAGGGGGAAGGCTCTTTTCTGTCAACTGAATAATCTAACTCTTTGTTTTATGAAAGAGATGCATTTTTTAAAAGCAGTTCATTAGTCATAGTTTTGTTAATTAAAAGTGAATTTCCCAGTAATCAGAGATCCTGTGACTTTTAAGACAGTACATCTGTCTATCTCTGGCTCAACAACCCTTGTGGATCTTGGCCGCTTTTTCTGTTTCTAATCTATATACATTCGGTAGGACTCCTTGGACAGGGGATCTGCCCGTTGCAAGGCCGCTATCTACTTACAGAACAACACAAATGGAAGGCTGCTATCTACTTACAGAACAACTCAAACGGAAAAACGCACACAGACATCCATGCCTCAAGTGGGATTTGAACCTACAATCCCAGTGTTCGAGCAGGCGAAGATGGTTCATGCCTTAGACTATGTGGCCACTGTGACCGGCAAGACAGTTCATAGATATATAAATTACAGTCAGGGG